AATAAATAAAAATAGCTTAATATTAATTTTAATATACATGAAAAAAAATTGACTAATCTATATAAGGTAAAAAAATAGTACGTTGGCAGAATATTGTAAACATAGGAAATTCTTAAAGATGGACGATAAATATTTTGATTATTTTGAATTAATTATAAAAAAATACCTGAAACCAGCTTTTTTAAGAGTTATTTCAGTTGCAATGTTAATCGAAATGTATTGGAAAATCATTATTTTTTCCGTTTGTTTGCTATTGAAATCGTTTCCTTTCAAATATTTTAAGTATTAATAAAATTATTGAAATCGGATATTGATAAATTATTAACTATGGTAATCATCTATCTAGAATCCGCGGCATATATTGCATTTAAAACTATCATATGCGAAGTATTGTTCAGTATAAACTTAAAGACGAACGTTTTTTACGAAAAAAACTTGTTATAAAGTCAGCGAATTAATTTATTGACCATAGTATCTTTGTGGTTAGTGGTGGCCTAGTGGTTAAAGGCCCGCCTCTCATGCACGAGGGCGCGGGTTCGATCCTGGCAAGCACCAATGTGATGTTCCGAGTCATATGTACTTTATAAGAGTATTTAGACATCACTGATTAATTCATTCCCAATGAGGGTTGATGTCAGGCAGGCGGATCGTAAAAACAATTAGCCAAAACTATTCACAACATGTAAGGCAGACCCTGGCTAAATCTGGGAAGTTGCCAGGTGGAAAAATCCTTAATACTTTATAATCCATGAACAGATATTGGGTGTGAAGTAAAAAACAAAAGCCAAGTAAACACGAAAAATATTTAATTTAACAACTAGGTCAAATTTTTCTTGATGTATGTAACTCAAACACGTACCTACATTCACGCACATAACAGGACTGTTTAAAATATAACAATTTTACTTATATTTATTGTGTTAAAATAATATTATTTTTAATTATTAGAGTGCAATGACCTCATCTGTTTAAAATAAGACATTATCTTATTTTCATTGTAAATATTGACAACGCCGTGACGTGGATTATACTGTATTTTAAGATTAATTTTTATATTGTATATATCAGATTTATTACACATTTCTTGTTTTTAAAGTGAGGGACGCCAGCCCCGCTGACGTCACATATGTCACTTCTTCTAGAGCGTTCCATGATATTTTAAAATGAAACTGCAATTGTTCTTAATGCTCCTGTATTTCTCAAAGATTCTTCATAATAACATACTTCTATGATACACGCTCACTGAACTCTGAATTATCAATTCTGAATTCTCAAATCTGCCGTCGTGAGTCCAGTCGTCATATTTATAACAAGATTCAAACATAGTTCTATTCTCCTTTGATTTCGTTTTACTTTTAACAATAATCATAAATACTAATGAGGTTAATAATAATTGATGACGGCCTCAAATTATTTTCATGTCGCATCCGTTATTAAAGCTGGTAGCGCCGATATATATAATTTCCTTTAAAATGAATTTAAATATGAACGGACCTAAATTAACTATTAGCATACAATACTAGATACTAATAGGATACTTTTCATCCGATCGAAAAAGAAAAGAAAAAAGTTGAGCAAATACAAAATCTTCTTATCTACTATTTTTAAGGAGGGATAGAGTTCGCCCGGTCAGCTATACATTTCTAATTCTGAGTTTACACAGACGAAGTCGCGAGCAAAAACTAGTTTTTCTATATAATTAATAACATTGTATTTCAACAATTTCTCTCCAAAACATTATTCTAAATATATTACTTTTAATAACTGTATTAAAGACATGTGCTTCTGAATAGTTTATGATTATTGGCATTTTATACGTCGCGGGTTTTCCTTCTGATGTACAATCGATGGTTATAAATAGATTGTAATAATTTTTGAGTGGACGCTAAAATAGTTCACTGTTTCTGAAGGAATTTGTTAGGGCAAGTTTGTTTACCCTTTTTTGAGGCCAGTTTGGGTTATATGAAATAATATGGGGTGCATTGTATCAGATTTCTATAAAGTTTTGTATCGTCTTCCTGGCGATTTCACAGCTTTTTTAGCCAGGGTCTGCCTTACATGTTGTAAATAGTTTTTGTCTAATTGTTTTTACGACTACCGCCTGCCTGTCATCAACCGTCTTTGGGAATGCATTAATCAGTGATGTCTAAATACTCTTAGAAAGTACATATGTCTCGGAAAAATCACATTGATACTTGCCCGGGCCAGGATCGAACCCGAGGCCTCGTGCATAAGAGGCGGGCCTTTTAATCACCAGGCCACCACTGACTTTATAAAGCTTTGTATATGGAGGACCTATTTTTGATGCCTATACTTGTTTTTTATAGATAATAATCATTTTATTGTTATTATAGCTGAGATTATTTTGCGTTGTTTTTTAAAAGGAGCTCAATGAACACTAATTCTTTCCACTTTCAGCTTTCCAATTGACTTGGTAGTGCTTAATGTTGCTAAATGAAACTAATATTTTTCGTATTACTACGCATATTTTATTATTTTAACTACATACTACCGACCTTTCTGTTATATTTGCAGCAACCGTGATCACGGAGATAAGATATTTTCATTCAATAATATTAGTTTCATTTAAATGAATACTCGCGAAAGCCTTAGATCTCATTAATGCCGCTAATTTAACTACATGGCGTAACTGCTATCTGATGTTCGGGTACCAGTTCCTCACCATATTATATCCTATAGTAAGTATACGTAAGGCAGACCTTGGCTAAAGCTGGGAGGTTGCCAGGAAGAAGAAGAAGTAAGTATAGGTATTGAATTTATTTGGATTACTAGATAACTATTACTATAAGAATCCACAGCTTTAATATTATATCCTTAAATAATGAACTCAAATATATTCTTCTTTAACAAAAAATCTATAACTTTATACTGCAACTTTACCCGCGAAAATTTCATAGATAAATTAAGTGTAACGTCCAGAAACAGTTGGAAGAGTTGACAAATATAAAACATAAAAAGTGCCTTAATTTTTTGGGGAAAATGTCAATTAAGAAACAGAATATTATGTAGAAACAAATTAAAATAATTAACATTACTTTATCATGCCTCAACTACAACACCGAAATTGTGGCACATAAATAAAAAATTACTTCCAAAGTTCAACTCGTGGGTGATGCGTCAATATTAAAGAATCTGGAAATAGATTTACAATTTCGTCTATTTAAGGAAATACAGAAATAAAATCCATTCAACCAAGACATTTAAATGTAATCGATATAAAATGTCGAATGTCAAATGTCAATTTTGGACTATACACATAAATATATATTAAAATAGCAATTATTTTCTCTATACAATACTCAAGATTCCAATTCGTCTTACAAATAAAAACGTTGACAAAATATTCCACGATTCCAGTGCGATTGAAGCCATAGCATAAATATATGTATATAAACAAAAGATTAAACTATTAAGTCAGTGGTGGCTCAGCGGTTAAAGGGCCCGCCTCTCGTCGTCGAGGTCGCCGAGGGCGCGGGTTCGATCCTGGCCCAGGCAAGTACCAATGTGATTTTTCCGAATCATATGTATTTTCTAAGAGTATTTAGACATGACTGATTAATGTTGATTCCCTAAAAAGGGTTGATGTCAGGCAGGCGGCCGGTCGTAAAAACAAATAGCCAAAAACTATTCACAACATGTAAGGCAGACCCTGGATATAGCTGGGAAATTGCCAGGTAGAAGAAGAAGAAGAAAAGATTAAACTATGTCTCATTCAAGTATTGAAAAAATCAAAAGTTCCTTTATTTCATTATAATATACATATGTACATAACATTAGTATTAAAATGAAAATCTACTTAAAACATCGACAAACATATAAATTTAAATGCAGTATCATTAAAGAAGTCAATAAGAATAAAAAAATAAGAGTAACTAGCTTCAGACAGGAAATTATAAAAATAATAAAACACATTTTAAAGAAAGCAATTCTTTTATTGAAACATAACTAACTCAATACCACATCAGAATACAACGAACTTAATAAATTAATACTCGCGAAAGTTCTAGATCTCATTACTCAACTATAGGGTTCAAAAAAATATGATCAGACCTACAACCTACAGACTACGATAATTCACAATAATATCGCTCAAAAATCTTTTGCATATACCCATAACTCCTTATACCTGACAAAACTCAGAACATAAGTCACTAACGCTACTTCCAAACCAGAGATTCTCCTCAGAATCGTAAAAAACTATGAAGATTTGTATTTCACCTAAGTAATTTATCCAATGTCCTAAATACCGAGTGATCTTGCAAAATATCAGATAGATTTTCAGATGTTTTTGTAATCTAACCGAAAAGTTTGCAAGACGTGGTTATGCTGACAATTTCAGGCGCTGGTTCTGGCGTTATGACTTGGCAAGTCAAATTATTAGTAATAGTTGTTTCAGCGGGGCCAGTATATAAGTTTGGATTTCGCTAGTAGTGTAACCACGATGAAGTTTAATTGAGGGTCGTGTAAATCGTGTTTAGGTTATCTTAATGAAGCACCACGAAAGACGAACAAACTGAGAAAAAATGGGATCATAGAATAGCTAAAGGAGGACCCACCCAGCACTGGAATACACTTTGGGAGACGCCTAAAGTCAGTAATAAAGGCCTGTACTACTTATACTATCCGATTTAATCGATTAATTGATTTCATTTAATTTAAGTAACAAGCGGGAAAGAAACGATCATAGACAATTTTATTCTATTTTAACTATTACCAAAAACATGCGCATTACATACCAGCTATATAATTTAATTCCATACCTATTTAATTCAGTTAATTATTTCATTTAAACCTTTTATAAAAGTTTTTATTGTAATGTAATTATTTAATCTCAATGACGTCTATCAAATTAATTTGCCTAAAACCGCCACTAGATGACTCTTTCATAAAAAACTTTGACAATGAAATGACATGGACATGCGTGAATGCTACTTAAATTTTTTGTTTACAAAACATTATAACGAAAAAGTTTATTTAAAATGTCGAATAAAATAAATAAATTACCACCAAAACAGAGAAAAACTAAAGGTTTATCTAGAGAGGAGCTAATGAATATGGATAAAGATGTAATTATACATACAATCGAATTTTATGTGATATAACCTTAAAAGTTAATTTATATTATTTTTCAGGAATTAGTCGATAGAATAATGCAATTGGAAGCTCACACTACGCAACTTAAGAATATAATAAGCAAAAGTGAACCAGTTACAGAGAATATACAGGGTTACAATAATCAAAGAAAATTTGATTTCTCGAAGTAAGTTTATTTATATTTAATACAATTTGTGTCAACTTTCTCAAAAATCTTGATAACTGCAATCAATAAAAGATTTTGAAATTCCGATTGAATTCATATTTAAATCTTTAGATAATTTATAAGATTAATTAAATCCAAGATCTAATCAGTGGTGGCCTAGTGGTTAAAGGGCCGGCCTCTCATGCACGAGGGTGCGGGTTTGATCCTGGCCCTGGCAAGTATCAATGTGATTTTTCCGTGTTATATATACATTCTAAGAGTATTTAGACATCACTGATTAATGCATTCCAAAAGACGGTTGATGTCAGGCAGGCGGCCGGTTGTAAATTAACCAAAACTATTCACAACATGTAAGACTGACCATGGCTAAAGCTGGAAAATTGCCAGGTAGAAGAATTAGATCCAGGATCTAATACATTCATTATTAAGTATATACTTACCAAAATACTACCAAACTTCTATCAAACTATCACTGTTCATCTTAGCCCTAATTATAGGTTATTTCATAGAAAAATTCTGAATTTTACTAAACATTTACAGATGTAATTTCCGACGGGTTTTGCTACATATAATATACTTCGGCTGGGACTACCACGGGCTCGCCGTACAAGAGGATTCAACGCAGACAATTGAGCATTACCTTTTCAATGCCCTCGTCAAATCTTGTCTCATTGAGAGTAGAGAACAATCACAGTATCATCGATGTGGTAGAACAGATAAGGGTGTTAGTGCTTTTGGACAGGTGATTATATTATATAAATAATTATATAAACCAGAAAAACTTGACCTATTTATATGTATGTGAAAACCATAATAAGTTAACCTATATATAACTATATGAAAACCAGAATAACTTACCTATTTATATGTATTTCACGATTATAAAGTACTAAGAATCTTTATTAGTCGTATATGTTAAGAATTAATGGCATATAAGTTGTTTTCCCATAATTTTGAAATAAATTAACTATATCCAGAGTCTATACAATATAACTTATAAAGTTGATGTTAAAATATTGTATATATTTCAATTAGACATATAATACAGGATTTTTTTATAAACATAAAATATCTCACTTATATTACATGCAAATAGGCAAGACAAGTGTTTTTATTAGAAAACTACTTAATCTTGAATGTATAAACATACATACATATAACAAACACAAGCAAAGCAGTAGTTATCAGCCAACTTATGAATATAAGTACTACTTACTAAATATTTATGATTAGCATTATATATGTAGAGCCTAGCTGTGGTTACTACAGCTCGAACGTGGTTTGTCTCGACCGGGGAAGTACCACCCTCTCACAGAAGATCGGTGTGAAGCCTTTAATGGCTGCTTTTCGTCTAAACCATTCCCAGATCCCCTTGAACACACACAAAAAATTTCATCAAAATCGGTCCGGTCGTTTGAGAGAAGTTCAGTGACGTACACACTCACCGAAGAATTATATATATAAAGATATTTAATTACAGATAATATCTATATCATTACGAAGCAAACTGGAACCATCTTCAACCAACTACTCATCGGAGATACAATATTGCAAGATCCTAAACAGATTGTTTCCGAGGGAGATAAAAGCAGTTGCCTGGATGCCCATACCTGATGACAGACCAGATTTCAGTGCGAGGTACTGACTTATTAATAATTATAATGAATAAATACTGATATTATAGAAAAAAATTATATATATATATGTTTAATATAATATTTCTGTCATATATCTTAATATAATGGTCAAGTAATATGATATAAATGGTTAAATATCTTTATTCTCATAAGAACATACAAAGGTTCATTTACATGAGATTAAATAATGTTACACATAATATATTTGTTACATGGAATGGCTAGTACTACTTAATATTGTCTAATATGTATATTTTAAGTTTATTTTTAAAAAACATTTACATTCCTTTATGTAGTTTGGCAAATCATTATATTCAATTCAGTATTACATTCATTTAAATGACAATAAAAACTAGAAAAAGTGAGAAAGAAAATGCTCTGTACTGCTCTCTCCTACAGTAATATACAAAACGTAACTCTCTCTATTTATGATGATCACACTTTTCGTAACGCATTTGCCGGCTTACTCCCAAGTCCCAAGCGTGATAAAGAAGTTTTACTTCAAAAACTTGCCATTTGATTATATAATTATGTATAACTAACTTTCCGCCCGCAGCTTTGCCCGCGTGGAGTTCGGTTATATCGCGTTTCCAAGAGAACCTTTCAAAAGTCTGGGATAAAAACGATCCTATGTTCTTTCTCAAGGTCAACTCTATGTCTGTACAAAATTTCATTTAAATCAGTTCAGTGGTTTAGGCGTGAAACCGTAACATACAGACAGACAGAGTTACCTTCGCATTTATAATATTAGTAGGTATATTTCAGATTCGACTGTAAGGGCCGGCAGTATAAATACTATTTTCCTAAATCAAATCTCAATATAACCGCTATGAGAGAAGCCTGCCGCCATCTTGTCGGTTCACATGACTTCCGCCATCTTTGCAAGATGGACGTCGGAAATGGCGTCACTGAATTCATAAGACGAGTCGTATCAGCTGATATTATTGGTCTTGATAAGGATTGTGAACAGAGTATGTATATGAGGAATAACATATTTATTATAGTATAGCGCGTTAGATATGGTCCCTTAAGCCTACACTTGGGTCACAAGTCCCACGACAATAAACGAATTAATTCAAATAGAAGATATAGTATAAAATTCTCAATTTATAAATAATTTTAACACAATTTGTATTTTATTTATACATATGTATACAGGGTGACTGGTGAATTACTATCAATATTTAAGGAGAATACTCGGTACATGATTCTCATTCAAATTATGTAAAAAAAATAGGCACTTAATTTTTGACAAAATTTCCGTATAAATAAGTAAAGTGTTGACACGTTCCAAGTGTTCAAGTGTGGACGCGTGCGGCGGCGTGCTGATACAACACTACGTCGCGACACGCGTGTGTGTGTGTATACGTAATCTGTAGGGTGTTCACACGATGCGTAATTAATTACATAACTTTTGGTTAACTTTACTTAGAAGTTTATTAATATTTATGTTATATTAATTTTTATTTTGTCATATATGATCGTCAAATATCACGTCCTCAAACATCGATAGTAATTCACCAGTCACCCTGTATACTTTGTAGTATATATTTAAAATCTTAATACTAGTAATATCTCAATATTTCTATAATATAAAAAACACTAAATAAATTCCATTTTTCTTATATAACAACATAAATTTTCATATTATTCTTTCAGCCACATCAATGTATGCGTTAGTGATTGAAGGCAATGCGTTTCTATGGCATCAGATCAGATGTATAATGGGTGTGTTATTACTTGTGGGTCAAGGACATGAGAGACCGAATATTATAGAAGAATTACTGGATGTTGAGGCAAATCCACGGTAAATTATTATATTTACAATTAAAATATGCTTTTTGGCGATAGCGCCATCTATTGGTAGCTAGTGGTACTACAAGTAACTAGCAAAGTTTTGAGATAAGCGCCATCTATTGGTGGAAAGTATATATAATGTTTTATTCATCGTTGAAATGCATTAACTCAGTATATTGAATTAAAATTAAAATAAGAGAACTATTTGTATCAACATTTGTTGGAATAATCATGACAAAATGTTGAAAAATATTGTTTAAAGTTAATAATACTCATATGAAATATAATTATCGTACAAATCGTTATCACATCATAAATCCAGTACATCATCTTTAGAGCTTGCAGAGACAACACGTATAAGAATAGTGAAGTATTTTTAAACATTAGACTTAAGATATTCATGTAAATTTGAAAAAAAGTTTACTTATCAATAAAAACGGAAAGCTAGTATATATATAATTCTATACTATTAATAAATATATCTTTCCAGCAAACCTCAATACAATATGGCTTTGGATCTGCCGCTGAACCTATTCCGCTGTACATATGATGTGAAAAGTCACTGGGTGTATGATGAAGAAGAACTTAAATACATTATAACTAATTTACAAGCTGACTGGACCATGTATAATATAAAGTTAGTATATACAATAATATAAGACGAAACCTCTCATCATTCCATGTATTCACGGTGTGTGTGTCGGGTCCATCGTTGTAGTGAGAGGAGCTTCAACAGTGACTGGGACTTGTGACCCAGGTGTAGGTTTAATATATATAGAGAGACGAAACCTCTCGTCATTCAATGTATTCATATGCGTGTGTCGGGTCCATCGTTGTAGTGAGAGGAGCTTCAACAGTGACTGTGACTTGTGACCCAGGTGTAGGTTTAAGGGGTCCCTATCTAACGTTAAACGCTCACCTCCACTACTAAGTAGATAAAATTTATGAAATTACTTTAATAAAGTGATCTACATATACAACAGTGACTTTATACATGAAACAATAATTATTCATAGGTTTATTTGTTATGACAGGATATACAAAATTAATATGTTATTGATCCACAAATTCACTATTTATGCCCAATGAACAAAGGCTTCATTTTATCTTTCTTACGATCTTTTCTTATCTATCTTGAATTCACCATCAGGTTGATGAGAAATTATTATCGGATTTATTACAAATTCGTTGTTTTTAAAGAGAGACGTCATTATCGCTGACGTCACTAATGTCACTTATAGAGCGTTCCATGATATTTTAAAATGAAACTTCAATTATTCTTAATGCTCCTGTATTTCTCGAAGGTTCTTCATAATCACATTCTTCAATGGTCCACACTCACTGAACTCTGAACTCTGCCGTCGTGCGTCCAGACGTCATATTTATACCAACATTCAAACATAGTTCTATTCTCTTTTAAATAATCTTTGATTTCGTTTTACTTTTAACAATAATCATGAGTACTAGTAAGTTTTTATAATAATTGATGACAGGCTCAAGTTTTTATTTCTGTGTATTCTTTTATATTATAGCTTAAAACATGTAAACATAAGCACTATTTTTCCTGAATTGACATCTATTCCAATACATAAGCTGCATCACAATGGTCATTTATTCAACAAATATACAAACTAAACAAAAAATAATTTTATTGTATTGATTATACCACAAAAATAAGGTTTTGCTATCATTAATATTATTTTTATTTATATATTTAATATATATATATATATATATATATATATATATATATATAATTCACAGATCTACCATGATTAAAGATGCTGTAGAACATTTGGAAGGTGTTCTATATGACTTGAGTAAGGAGAGAAAGAAGTGCGAAAGAGACAGAGAATATAATAACCTTGGAGGGAAAGAGATGCAAGATAACGAACATATAGCATTAGAGGGAGACCAAGATATATGTAAGGAAGATAAAAATTTAGAAGAGTTAGGAGGGAAAGAGAAGGAAAATGATAACAATACGTGCGAGAGAGACAGCGAATTAAAAAACGTGGGAGGGAAAGAGACGGAAGATGTGTGCGAGGGAGACAGAATAATATCGCACGCAGAATGTCTATTACAAGGAGTCAAACCAAGAATATATACACCGCTGTTCAAAAGACAGACTTGTTGTAAGTATGAATAATACTATAACTTGATAGAACGCGTTACTAGGAGTGTGAGACGCCAAACTAGAAGTATGATAGTAATAGAAGAGATGAGAATATATATATATATATATATATATATATATATATATATATGTATTTAGGATTCTAACAAAATCATAATAAAAATATAGTTTTCTTATAAAGCCAGTACTTTCAAATAACTTATAATACCTTAACTAGAACGAAATAATTATTATCTTAAACCATAACACATTAAATAAGTTACATTCAATTTACAAATACACAAGTCGTGTTAACAAATACTTTCCCTCGTAAAAGTGAACAAACCAAATGTCATCGCTTTAACGTCACTTCGGGAATATAAAGGTTGCGTTCAAATTAAATGTTTTTTTCCTAAATATTTACAAAGAAATAAATAAAATAAATAGATATATACTTTAATTGTTTTATTTGTTCACAGCGAGTCTCCAGGAACGGTTACAATACTACAGGAAGAAGAGGAAAGTTGGAGAATATTCTGATGATGAAGAAATTAAATAAAAATATAATACTACATATATATTCCTTTATTTTTTTATCGTGAGGAAATCTATTTCATTATAATCACCTCACTCCTACAAAAATCATTTACGAAAAAACTTAATTATTAATCATTAGACAACTATATATATACTACAAATGCATCCTAATAAGAAATATTAACACTAACTCAATTCAAACTAAGATACAAATAAAGAAAGAACAAAAAATCTATTGTTTGAAGGATCACAGTTGTTCAATGAATTACCAACTGACATTAAAGAGTACGAAAATACTAACTTGTTTAAAATTAAGTTAAAAATATATGTAGTTACTTTATAACTTCTAACACTAGATAATATTGCAATGTATTGTCTTTAAATTTTGTATCTCATTTTAAGTTCTAATGAGTAATCAATCTCTTTAAAACGATATGCTTAAGCATACTCTCTTGCTTGGGGAGGAAAACAAGGAGAGTTATATCGGAATCTCGTCCTGAAATAACGCACTATGTACCTACTAAAACCCCACGGTTGCCCTAAAAGGGACATTTTCAATTCAGTTCGATTCTTCATTTTTACTTGCCCTACATCAATATTACCAACTTATGAGAAACAAGTTAAATGTGTGAATATAGTATATTCATATATATAAAATATAAACTTTGACTCATTGAAAAGTCACTATGTGTAACTCAGACAATGTCACGGCCAAAAGCAAGTGTATATGTTTTTGTTAACCAAGCCCTCGTGCTACCTCTGCCAGTTGTTCTACTTCATAAGAGATGGCGTCACTTACACTATAGGTTTTGTTTATTAACCTTTACATTTTTATATTATAACTAGCTTTCCGCCCGCAGCTTCGCCGCGTGGAGTTCGGTTATATCGCGTTTCCAAGAGAACCTTTCAAAAGTCTGGGATAAAAACTATCCTATGTTCTTTCTCAAGGTCAACTCTATCTCTGTACCGAATTTCATTAAAATCAGTTCAGTGGTTTAGGCGTGAAAGCGTAGCAGACAGACAGACAGACAGACAGACAGAGTTACTTTCGCATTTATAATATTAGGTATTATAATAAAATACTGTTTTAATTTTTATATTTAGATAACATTTTTAATTTATTTAATGTACAAGCAAAACTAAGTTTTAGCATAAAATATTTTATATATCCTTTGTTGCGTATCTTCCAATTAACTTCTTTTTTATATACTTAAATTAATTCTATTCATCAAATTTCCTTTGCGATTTGACATTAAACTTCTTTTTCTTTGACAGTTTAGTAAAAATAATAATAATACCTATATCTTTGAAACTTTTGCATTAAAACCGAAAATTTTAAAAGATCTTAACTTGTTGCTGATTATTTAAAGTCATGTAGGGATCAATTCCACGACTTACATAAAATAAATATTTTTATTTAGTTGTAAATAATTTACAAACATGAATTATAATTGTAATAATCTCTACTTCATATTATTTTTAAAAAAATAAATACGTTTTTCCACGTTCGTTGTTTTATTCTTAATTTTTTTTACTATTATAATGTATCATAATGTATCCATCATGCCAATGGACTCCACAAGAAGGATGCCGAAGACCGAGCTAAGTGGAGGACACTGAGTGGGAAAGCGGACCCTGGGTTCTCCCGCCCTGGGCGGGACGAACAACCGGGACAACGCTAGGGTGATGATGATGATGATGATGAATGTATCATAATAGTGATATGGTTCTGAATTCATTAAAATGAATAAAATATGTAGACTCTATTTATATTTCATGGGATTGTTATAGTTTTATTTCAAATAGGTAGGTAGCACTATAACATAAAATTAAATAAAAATAATAGTGAAAGTTGACACGAGAAACATTTTTTTGTATATATGTATAAACTGAGGAAGAAAAAATTAAGGAAATAAATTAGGTAAATCTTCCAAATAATAACCGACTTTTTATTTAAGTATTACTAAACTACATTTTACTTATGTAGGTTAATAGGTATTAGGTGAAAACTGAAATGTAAAACAAAAAATATAAGCGAGGAAAAACTGACACAAAAACAAATAAATATCGCTTCATTTGCAAAAAAAAGTTTTCAAGTTGTAGATCGTTCAGTTTATGATATAATAAATAAGTTTAAAATATAATATTAGATTATAAATATCAAAAGATGTGTACGACCTCTAAACAGGAGCGTATTTTGTGTTCGTAATTGTCTCCATAATGATTATGGCATTGTAGGTGCATTGTACTGCGCTAAACCGGCCACGGTAAACGGACCTATAATATTTTACTATCGCGTATTACTTATGCAGTGTTAGAAGACTGCCACGCGGGGCAGCGGTCTGAACCGCGATACATTAAAACCTCTTCGAATAAAAACCTTCATGGTGTGGCTGAATAATATAAGGTCTGTGTATAATCCGGCGGTTGGTCGAGTTTTTTTATTTGGTTTTGACTTTGACAGTTACAAAAATATAATATTTACCTATTAAGTGAAGTACGAACCAAACTTGTGTTTTGAGTTTTCCTTTTAGCAAGTTATTTTAAACTAACTAAATCCGCTGGTTTTGCTTAATGTGTTTTATTTACGTGAAACTAACGTAGTGATTATATATATAACAAAGAGGTCGGTTCGTGTTTTATAAATGAGAAACTATATTTTTTTATTAATAATCGCAACGTGAATGTAAATTCTTTATTAATATTCTCACTCACTACTTATTCCGGGATCATTGATGCAAAGAAATATAAAAACAGTTTAATTATGTTTATATGTGATTGTAAGAAAAGTTACTAATTATTTATGAATTCTTACTATAATAGTGAAATATAATATAAAATATATGTTTATTTCTAAAATATTGTAATTATATTGTATATAGTTATTAAATATATTACCACCTAATAAAGATTAATCTTTAGATACAAACATTAAATTTAAGATCTGAAATATTGTAATTTGTGTCCATTTATTACATAAAATTAGATGCAATCATACTTACATCTGTAATATCTCATATATATTAATAAATACAGTTTTCTTGCGATCACACTGCCTATATTTATATATACAATATATATGTTTCTCAAAGAGGGTAGATGTCAGGCAGGCGGCCATATAAAAACAAGTAGCCAAAACTATTTACAACATGTAAGGCAGACCCTGGCTTAAGCTGGGAAATTGCCAGGTAGATTTCTAGTATTTAAATATAATATATTTTCTTTGTTTCAGATATAAGTGCAATCTAATGATGTTTCCGCTATTTAAGTCATCAAAACATTTCTGAATCGACGGCGAGCTCAAATCTTATAAATAATGTGAATTAAAATAGTTTTAATTTCATAGATCTATAATTTTAATAATTTCTCATATTTCATTGTGATGTAAGTTTATTTTATATAAATGTCTACAAGGCCAGTATTAGTTGTAGGTATTTTTAAGTATGTGCTCAGATTGCCGGTAGGAATAATGAAGATTATGTTTTTGGTAAGTGAAATTTTTATTAATGAACTTATTATGTATATACAAAGATATATATTTATATATCTAACTAAGGAACATGATTAATATATACATATATAAAATGATAATATATAGACAATTTTTTCATTTAATGTGTTACACCATTACAGCGATTTACAAATATATATACCAATATTGTTGTTACTCCTAAATACTAAAATAAAGCTTCTGCTCCTTAAAAATTATATCTATATGAATCTGATAATTATTCTCAAAGTATAACCATCCTTACTTTAATACAAGCAGTATGTAGTTTGTTAAACTCATATTAAGGGTGCTAAAAGCAAATAAATATTAATACTTTAGTCTCATTAAATTCTTTCACCTGAAAACTGAAAGTATGATAGTATGTTATTCAATAACCAGTTTATCTTGAGCCGTGTCAGTTTGTATGTATGAGAAATTAAGAAAAGTTAAATGAAATTGTTAATTAGGTAATTCTTTTTTGTTTGTTCTCAGATAACGGTCAAAGAAGTTATAGCTGTGAAATACTAATGGTTTACATGGTAAGTAGATACACACACACATAAACACACACACGCATATATATATATATATATTTTACTGACTCCAAATATATCTTATATATAAAATTCTCGTGTCTCGGTGTTAGACAGAGAACTCCTCCAAAACGGCTGGACCGATGTTGATGAAATGATGTGAGCATATTGAGTAGCTCTGAGAATCGGTCAACATCTATTTTTCATACCACTAAGTCATAAGGGTTTTTCACTCTTATTTTTTATTTTTGGACGAATTTTTTTGTTTATATTTTTTTTAAATGTAGCTTTACACAGTTAAAACCCAAAATTTTTACTTTTTAATCACCAACCCGAGTCCCCTAGTATATATACAGGGTGACTGGTGAATTACTATCGATATTTGAGGACGTGATATTTGACGATCATATATGACAAAATAAAAATTAATATAACATAAATATTAATAAACTTCTGAGTAAAGTTAACCAAAAGTTATGTAATTAATTACGCATCGTGTGAACACCCTACAGATTAGGTATACACACACACACACAGACGCGGCGGCGGCGTAGTGTTGTATCAGCACGCGTCCACACTTGGAACACTTGGAACGTGTCAACACTTTATTTATTTTTACGGAAATTTGGTCAAAAATTAAGTACCTATTTTTTTTACATAATTCGAATGAGAATCATGTACTGAGTATGCTCCTTAAATATTGATAGTAATTCACCAGTCACCCTGTATATGATTTCAAATCAAACATCAATAAATATTGAATTACTATATATACAGTTAAACCTAATGAACCAATTGTTTTGTACCTTATTAGTATTTTGCTCTTACAAATCAGATAAATTATTACTACTGAATCCATTCTTTTGTTATATAGGTTAGTATGTCTGTTTGTATCGGACAATCTCGAAAACTAGTTTAACAATTTGAGGTAATATTTTGGTATTAAATTGTTTATTTATATAAAATTCTTATAAATTATATGAAAATTAAAATTTTAAT